GCCTGCTACACCGGGTTCGATTCCCCACATTGTGAAGCCCATTTCATGATATTGCTGGAATAGTGCTAAAAGCAGCGTAAAACCATATCACTCAATCACGTGTTGTATTTTGACCTTTTCATGATTTTTCATTGTGAAAATATATTATGTTTCGTTCTATATTTTGGCAAGTTTTTGTACACCCATTTGTTTTGACATTTAGATTTTAAAGAAATTAGATTGCTGAAGAGGCTTTTTGCTGTGTTATATTTAGTTTATTCAAATCTTTGACTACGGTTATTTGAGATGTGAATGTTTGCCCTGTCGTTATAAAGCTGGACAACAACTCCTAAACAGTAATGACAGTTGATTTGTGGCATACCGTATTTCCTCTAATAAGCACCCAGGTGCTTATTTTTTCAACGAACTTCCAGACCCGGCACTTATTAGGCTTACTGGGTGTAATTAATTATATCTTAAACCGCTGCTGTACCTCCAGCGTTTGTTACAGTCCCGGTGCTTATTAGAGGAAATATGGTACCTTTCTTTGGTGGATAAATACTCAGACGCAACTGTATCCATTCAGGAAAATTGGTCATGCATGTGTTTATTATAATGAAATCACATAAAAAGTGTAGTTTTCTGTGAAAGTAATATTGTTAAACTCTTTAAGGTCTGGGGATTAAAAGGAGCCAGAGCTTCAACATTATTTCTGTGCCTAGAACTATCATGTGAAGAACTATGCTTTTGAAGTGGCTTTCTTTCCATTATCACTTGATTATGTGTAAGTTCTTCAGTGTAATGAGGATCAGATAGGTTATGAGGGGCAAGGTGGGGTGGAGTAAAGAAAGCTTGGGAGATCTGTTGGGAGGATCAGATAGGTTATGAGGGGCAAGGTGGGGTGGAGTAAAGAAAGCTTGGGAGATCTGTTGGGAGGATCAGATAGGTTATGAGGGGCAAGGTGGGGTGGAGTAAAGAAAGCTTGGGAGATCTGTTGGGAGGATCAGATAGGTTATGAGGGGCAAGGTGGGGTGGAGTAAGAAAGCTTGGGAGATCTGTTGAGAGGATCAGATAGGTTATGATGGGGCAAGGTGGGGTGGAGTAAAAAAGCTTGGGAGATCTGTTGGGAGGATCAGATAGGTTATGAGGGGCAAGGTGGGGTGGAGTAAAGAAAGCTTGGGAGATCTGTTGGGAGGATCAGATAGGTTATGAGGGGGCAAGGTGGGGTGGAGTAAAAGAAAGCTTGGGAGTTCTGTTGGGAGGATCAGATAGGTTATGAGGGGCAAGGTGGGGTGGAGTAAAAAGAAAGCTTGGGAGATCTGTTGGGAGGATCAGATAGGTTATGAGGGGCAAGGTGGGGTGGAGTAAAAAGCTTGGGAGATCTGTTGGGAGGATCAGATAGGTTATGAGGGGCAAGGTGGGGTGGAGTAAAAGTAAAAGCTTGGGAGTTCTGTTGAGAGGATCAGATAGGTTATGAGGGGCAAGGTGGGGTGGAGTAAAAAGAAAAAAAAGCTTGGGAGATCTGTTGGGAGGATCAGATAGGTTATGAGGGGCAAGGTGGGGTGGAGTAAAGAAAGCTTGGGAGATCTGTTGGGAGGATCAGATAGGTTATGAGGGGCAAGGTGGGGTGGAGTAAAGAAAGCTTGGGAGTTCTGTTGAGAGGATCAGGTAGTGGTGTTGTTTCTGCTGGGACACAGACATGGACGGTGTCAGGCCAAGGATGGGATTGGTGGTTAAGGTTGGTTGTCATTACTTGTATTATTATAGGATACTTATATAAGCGCACATATCCACGCAACTAGTGCATGCTCAAGGCGCTGGTATTTTTTTCCCTCTATCATTGGATGTTGATCTCAACGGCACATCATATTATCAATCTCAACTCCCTGGGGGCGTATACAACTCCTGCAGCCACTAGGAGCACCAAGTTATTGTGGCTTTCTCATCCTAACGAGGTACCCATTCACAGCTGGGTGGACTGGGACACATAGTCACAGTACTTTGTCCAAGTTCACTGCACATTGCTGTACCTGCAACTAGGTGTTTGCATGCATTCATGTGGGCACCATCTGGTCATATACCAATGGATTCGTGGGTTCTTTTAAGTGCACAGGGTTGTGTAATGTACACTAGGGGTTGTGACAACACTGAAAGAGTCTGCACACAAAGTTGTCTCACAAGGCTTTACACCCAGTCACAGGTGGGCTCGACTCCGACACCTCAACCACGCTGGATCACTAGTCTGGTACCTGGCTCGCCCACCCCGCCCCTGTAGATTTGTAAACTTGTACTTTCTGTCTTAATGACAGACCCTAGATGTCAGTAGCCCATTTCAGTAGCCGATCTATCTCACTCACTCACTCACTCACTCACTCACTCACTCACTCACTCACTCACTCACTCACTCACTCACTCACTCACTCACTCACTCACTCACTCACTCACTCTCACTCTCACTCTCACTCACTCACTCACAGGCTTAAGATTGTCATAATGCTAAGATAGCTTTGTGCCTGTGGGCCCTGGTCAGGATGTTGATGCATAAGTAAACACCAAGATTTATATATTACAGCATGCCAGTTTAACTGCATATTGATAGACATGATTCCATTTTTCAGTTCCTTTACTCAGGGTTACCCTGACATTTCATGACATCACACAACAAGATTTCAATGCTTTCATGTTACAAATCAAAGAACTCAGTTTTCATTGCTGACATGTTATTCCCTGCTCATTTGATATAACACCCAATGTTTTATAATTTAGCCAATCAATCTTGGTGTAACAGCATCATTTCAGTGATAGATTGACATCATGTTATTTGAGTGCTCCCATACATTTTAGTTCAAGTAGAATCCAAATGGACCTCTGAACAATATCTGCAATGAGGCAATCCAGACTTACCTGGTCATTAAAAACCTGAGCTGGGTTTGTTTTTAATTTATTCTCTCAGACCCAGGGAGACAGACTACATAAGGACTGAATAAGAGCTCTTGCTCTGTTGTTGAAAAATTAGAAAATCGTTATTAAAGATTCATTGTCTCAGAAAATTAGATATATCTTGATATGAAGAATTGGAAATGAGATTTGATTTACTAAAAGAGAAATATTTAACATCACTTTTCCAAAATAGAAACAGTGTCTGTAGGTATTACGATATGATCATATCCATCACATAAGCATGTTGTGCAGATGAACTCCATCAGTTTCAAGTACCTTTATCAATGTTCATATACTTTTAACCAAAGTACATGCTCTATTCCTGTGGAGACAAGGCAGTGTGTACAGTCATCCCTCGCCATAAAACATGTCTTGGGGTCCATGGATGACACGACCCGTGAAGATCCGGGTTAGAATATTGATCTTCAGTAACCCATGCTTGTCATAAGAGGCGACTAACGGGATCGGGTGGTCAGACTAGCTGACTTGGTTGACACATGTCAACAGTTCCCAGTTGTGTAGATCGATGCTCATGCTGTTGATCACTGATTGTCTGCTCCAGACTTCGATTATTTACAGACCACCGCCATGTAGCTGGAATATTGCTGCGTGAAACTAAACTCTCTCACTCACTCACTCACTCACTAGCTCCTATGGATGGATGACACCCCACGTTATACATAACACGGAATAAAGGCCAAGTAAAATATATAATGTATAAGCATTGCTCCTGACGTGGAACATCAAACTGAAACATTCAATGTTTCCAAGGTGCGTATGTAAAAATGAAGTAACCAGGGTGAGAGTAGAGGCATTTGTATACCAGTAGCATGTCCGGAAAGACAAGGGAGACCACTCTTTTCTCACTTATAGGTAGTCAAAATAGTTTTATGCCACTTAACACAATATTCATGCGATATGACTTGGGGACACCAGAAATTGGATTTACGGATTGTACCGATGTTGGGAATCAAACCTGAGCCTTATGCATGTAAAGCTAACGCTGTAACAACTAAGCTACCCCATTGCCCTCTCTGTGATTGGGGTGGTAGGGTAGCCTAGTGGTTAAAGCGTTGGCTCGTCACGCCGCAGACCCGGGTTCAAATCCCCACATGGGTACAATGTGTGAAGCCCATTTCTGGTGTCCCCCGCCATGATGTTGCTGGAATATTGCTAAAAGCGGCGTAAAACCAAACTCAGTCAGTCAGTCAGTCTCTGTGACTGATGCCACCATTATCAGTACATTAAGGATTTGTAGTCACTAAATTGTTCATTCAGCACGGAGGAATGTAATGTATGTATATGTTACGTGTTGATTCCCTATTTGAAATGCAGAGTTTTAACCCAGAAATCAGTACAGACAGAACAAAATTGTAAAATCAATAAATATCCGCACAAGATCAAGGAACAACTTAACAAAGTATATTGAAACATGCAATATTTGGTGTTCAGTCGTAACAGGTAATGCTGCGGTTCAAATATCCATTAACAGCAATAAATAACAGGCCCATAACATGCCTCACAAATGCCCTGTATGGTGTGTCTTGAATGAGGCATTTGTTCCATTCTCAGTGTTGCAAGCAGGTAGAAAGTCGATGTTTTCTGATAAGGATCCTGACACCCTGGGCAAGTTGCAGGCAGGTCATCTGGTACACCTAGTCTTCCAGAAACTAGTACATCACATTATCTTGAACAAATAGTCAGGCCAAGAAGTCATTAACTGTACAACAGAACTTTCAGTACAGCTCACAAGACTGTTATGAAGGTATTAAACACTGCACACCTAAGGGAGGTCACTCCAATTAGCTAACATGAAAAAATAGCCACTAAAAGCTTCATCATTTATGAGCACCTCAGTCTTGCTATTTCATCGTGATTCGTGAACACATGCTACATTTTTATGTTTACTTTTTCATCACACACTGGCATAAATATTAGTCAGATTATTGACGGATCATGAGTTAACAATTACATCAATATATCTGAATTATATGATTCATGTTTTTATAATCAGATAATGTTTTAGATCATCAATAAAGCCTGACCTTGCTGTAAGTTAATATTTCAACCTTTGTTTCCAGCGGTTGCACAAGTTGAAGATCACTCCCCGTGACTGGATACCAGGGTCGGACCACACAGACCATGAGAACACAGCAAATCTGCCGGAGTACGTAATCTGCAGCCCCGACCGACATCGGCCCTCTACGGCACTTGCACTGCTTACAGCCAACCTCTACCTTCCCAACATTGCCGACATCATGGCAGCTGAGGTGAGTGTTCATATGTCCAGTTGATCCTGTGTTTTGTGAAACATGTGAAAACACCTCTGTAAGGAATAGTTTATGTGTAAACATTGATTGGTTGGATTTGAACTCATTTGCATTTTCTTAATTCTATTGCTGACTGGAGGTAGAAGTTTAAAGAAGACTGTGAGGGAATTTAGTTTTACGCGGTTTGTAGCAATATTGCAGCAATATCACGGTGGGGACACCAGAAATGGGCTTCACACATTGTGCCCATGTGGGGAATCGAACCCAGGTCTTCAGCACATTAACACTAGGCTATCCCACCACCCCAAAGAAGACCTTGAGGGCAAGCCTGGAACTTGTCAGCAGGTTGATTCCCAGGAGTAGCAAGAACATATTGCAATTGAGGGCAAACATTTTGTATTGCCACTAGGGCAAACATATGGTATTGCCAATAAAGGGAGCCATAATGTATTGCCATTGAGGGCAAACATGTTGTATTGCCACTAAGCATAACCATGTTGTATTGCCATTGTGGGCAAACATGTGTTGTTGCCAGTGAAGGGAGCCATGTTGTATTGCCAATGAAGGGAGCCAAGATGTATCGCCATTGTGGGCAAACATGTGGTATTGTCAGTGAAGGGAAACATGTTGTATTGCCAATGAAGGGAGCCAAATTGTATCGCCATTGTGGGCAGACATGTGTTGTTGATAGTGAAGGGAGCCATGTTGTATTGCCAATGAAGGGAGCCAAGTTGTATCGCCATTGTGGGCAAACATGTGGTATTGTCAGTGAAGGGAAACATGTTGTATTGCCAATGAAGGGAGCCAAATTGTATCGCCATTGTGGCAGACAGACATGTGTTGTTGATAGTGAAGGGAGCCATGTTGTATTGCCAATGAAGGGAGCCAAGTTGTATTGCCATTGTGGGCAAACATGTGGTATTGTCAGTGAAGGGAAACATGTTGTATTGCCAATGAAGGGAGCCAAATTGTATCGCCATTGTGGGCAGACATGTGTTGTTGATAGTGAAGGGAGCCATGTTGTATTGCCAATGAAGGGAGCCAAGTTGTATTGCCAGTGAAGGTAGCCAAACAATGTTTTACTGTCATGTTCTATTGCTGAGAGTAAAAGTGCATCTTGTATTGCCAATTAGAGCAAATGTGTTTTTTGCCCATGGGGCCTACCTATGTTGTATTTGCATTGTTGGCAGGATTACCTTTGAGGATAAGCATGCATTAATACCAATGTGTGCAAATATGTTGGATGTAACAGACAGTTTTGTGTCGGATTTATGACAGTTGCTCTTGGTGTCACCATCAAACATTCATAAGCCTCTATACAGGCACAAGACTTCACACAGATATATGCTCATTATTAATTCAAATGAGGGATAAATGTGCAGTCAAACTGTGCTTGCAGTCAATTTTCAAAATCCAGGATGACTTTGGTGAAGTTGTATTCACCAGAGTGTAACATAATAAAAATACATTGGTTGATCAAACTTGCATATATCTACTGAGCTCCATCAGTGTGTTATTTTGGTTGGTAGTCTCTGATAACATCTGATCAGCTAATTGGCTTCATTTATAGATTCAAACATGAAGTAGGTTCCATTTATGGCTGAGTCTGAGTCGGGTTAAATAATGGTCATTACTGTTACCCAGTCAGTGCTTTATAAGGTGGGGCAGCAGCGGGGGTAGCCTAGTAGTTAAAGCATTAGCTTGGAATGCCAAAGGCCCAGGTTCAATTCCCCTCATGGGTATAATGTGTGAAGCCCATTTCTGTTGTCTCCTGCCGTGATTTTGCTGGAATATTGCTAAAAGCGGCGTAAAACCATATCCAATCACTTTATGAGGGATAAAACTAGGAGTGCTTGTCTTGGATTCAGTACTCCTGTTTGAGCTAGATCCATGCTTCCTGCACCAGTGGGCTGGCACTATAAACCCAGCATCAGTCTGGACTGGTACAAGGAGATACATATACAAGCATGCACATGGCTATTTTAGTGTGATAATCCTGAACATAACATTTAACCCTGTTTCACCTATTGTAATAGAATAATTTTTGTAAGTTACCTTCAGGAACACAAAACAATGATACAGCAATACAGAGATGCTAAGATACAGCAATACAGAGATGCTAAGATACAGCAATACAGAGATGCTAAGATACCAGATATATGTAACACTCAATCTGCTTCCTATTCCTGTTGTCCGTCCCATAATCCCTGAACCAAATTATTTTCCCATCAACCCAGTCCTTCCTGCAATGCCAAAGCCCTAAATGAAGAAAGTGGACAATTCCTTAGGTCCATGTTATGAATTTCCCATCTCACTGGGGCTCCTTTTCAATTTAAATGGGATTACTTGTTGCTTACAAAATTATATACCGTTATATTTGAAGACAAAACGTTAGTCTGCTGTTCCTGAATCAACTCAGTACGAGCTACTTTTGTTGTACTTGTGTGTTGAGATTATTGTTCGACCTTGAGCCATGTTTGACATTGAGGAGAGGATGGAGAAGTGTGCTGTATTACATCCCTGTGTGAGATTTAATGTCATTTTGTTATGGAATTATTGATTACATAACTGGCAAAGTCTGCTCTCACCGGAGGAGACTGCTTCCTTTAGTAATGACGTTATTAATCATACACCTCGTCCAATGACAATGTGTATTTAAGTAGTGAGCAGGTGTGATTATTTGGGAAGAAAGGTGGAGGTAATTACACCAAGTCTCATGCAGCTGTTAGGTTTGGAAACATATAATTGATTGTTTTCATACAGGTGTACAAACCCTTGGTCTTGTAATTGTAACAGTCATAAATATTCTAAAGCCTGTGATGGGATTTAAACCATTGACCTTTGATCTGACGTCTGACACCATGTTCAGGTGACCAAAATGTTTAATTCTGGCAGCAAGCTGTAAAGGTATATATGGATGTCATTTGTGGGAAGATTCCACACCTTGGTACATAGTGACCAGGGTTTTACCTCCACTCACAAATATGGGGTCCCTAATTATTAGTTTTAAGGACCCTTGCAGGCAATCCTGTGAAGTATCGGTGCAGAGCACTGTATGTTTTGGTAATTATACCCCCGCTACGAAGTAACGGGGGTATATAGCGTTCATTCTGTCCGTCCGTCCCGAAACTTTGTCTGGAGCATATCTCTTAAAGTTTACATGCTAGGTTCACCAAACTTCACACACATGTTAATCATTACCCATTGATGTGCCTTTTGCTATTTTAAATTTTAAATGTGTGCAACATGAGAGTCAGTAACATTCTTTACCAACGTCCACTTTATTGTGTGCAACACGAGTCAGTGACATTCTTCATTTACGTTCACTTCATTGTGTGCAACATGAGAGTCAGTAACATTCTTCACCAACATCCACTTTATTGTGTGCAACACAAGTCAGTGACATTCTTCATCTATGTCCACTTCATTGTGTGCAACATGAGAGTCAGTAACAATCTTCACCAACGTCCACTTTATTGTGTGCAACATGAGACAGTCAAGTTCAGTTGTATGTCAGGTTTCAACGGGAAAAAAAAAAAAAAAATGTTTCCATAAATTATTACTGTAATCAGTACATGGCAAAACTATTATGTAACATGTATATAAAGTTTAGTAGATCCCAGTTGATAAGTGCAATAACAATGTCAAAGGTACATATAAACTTTAATGGAGGGATCATAAGACCATAACAAGTCGGGAGAATTTCAACTGAAAAGTCAATCACACTGACGTCACGAGTCCACAAGCGGGACAGGGGTGAAACGACCATGTCACAAGCTCAATAACGGGTATGTCCACCATCGGCATTGAGAACAGCAGTGCATCGACGACGCATAGAGCCTATCAAACATGCAAGGAAGGCCTGTGGGATGTCACGCCAGATTCTCTCAAGTTCTGTTGCAAGGTCAAGGACGTTATCTGGCGGATGAGGAAGACGGCGTCGACGTCGATCCATCTAGTCCCAAACATGCTCTATCGGGAGAGATCCGGTGAATTTGCAGGCCAAGGCAGTAAGTCAAGCGTTGTGGTGTTGCAAGAAATCCATAGCAACCCTTGCCGTATGAGGGCAGGCATTGTCCTGTTGGAATGTTAACCCAGGGCCATGACGTTGCAGAAAAGGAATTGTCACAGGTCGAAGAATCTGATCCCTGTAGCCCACACCAGATAAGTTGCCCTGAACAATCACCAAAGGAGTTCTCTGGCGTGCTGTTATTCCACCCCAAATCATCACGGAACCACCACCAAAGCGATTCCTCTCCAAGACACAGGCCTGTGCATAACGTTCTCCCATGCGTCTATAGGCACGTTGACGTCCATAACTATGGGAAATGTTAAACCTGGACTCATCTGTAAAAACAACATTTCTCCACTAAAACAAAGGTCTGCGGACATGATTTCGGCACCACATTCGGGCGAGCTTGTCGATGGCGTTGTATCAGGATAGGCCGTATGGCGGGACGCGATGTGGTCTGATCCGTGATGACGTAAGCGTTGTCTAACTGTGTTGGGATGGATCTGGCGAAGTCCTGGGATGGTTCGGGCAGTCATCACTGCAGTCTGAAACCTATGGCGAAGATGGGTCACCCTTATCCATATATCCTGTCTTGGCGTTGTTGTTACAACGCGGACGTCCAGAACGTGGCCGATCGATGATGTCATTTGTGTTCTGGTAGCGTCTCACCAGTGCAGAAATGGTGTTCCAGTGGCAGTGGAAATGTGCAGCCAATTGTCGTTGAGACATTCCCCCACAGACCATCCCAATGGCCTCATGACGTTGTGCAGATGTGAGCCTTGGCATGCTATGCGTTTCAATAGCCGTATAATTTTTTGAAAGATCGCAAGGGCAGGGGTTGAGCTTTCCAAAGTGACAGTATTGTGTGGCATTCATTTGCTCTGTTTCTCTTTCCCGGAATGCACGTGCAACAACGTATTGCACGTCTCAAGGATGAACCCACTGACGTCACGGAACGTGGCACGTGCATGCATGTGGGATACATGTC